ATTAGCTTCCTAATGTTCCTGCCCTTCTCTTTCTTCTTTAATGAACATAATATTTTCCTTTCAGCGACACTCACACACGCAGAGAGAGAGAGAGAGAGAGAGAGAGAGAGAGAGATTGAAAAGCCCGTTTGGATTGAAGGAACGACCGTTCAAGGTAAAGCGGTAATGTCGGAATCTGGATGAACTGGATAAAACACAGCATGATTTAGAATTGATGCGCTTATATACACTACTCAAAGGAGTTGAATCAGTTATCGAGATGACACCCACTTGTGAATACAACTCCAAGGTAGCAATAATGTTGTTAGAAAAAATAAGTTTGAGTATGAGAGTATAAATAGTTCAGTATATTAGGAGTTATTTGCAAAGAGTCGTTTATTTCCCATGAATATTTAATTAGATAACAAAAAATGCAAAAATGCGTATGTTCACTCCTTCCCTATCGTCACAAGCATTAATTAAATCAGGGAAGATCACTTTAACAATGGAGGTGAATGAAGTGGAGAAAGAAGTGAAAAGAACACAGGTTCCGGGAATGTCTGAATTTAGTGAAATTCTAATCCACACAGAGGGTTGAGTTCAGTTTCACTTTGTTAAAGCCTTAGCATTCCCAATTTTGAACATCAGACGAACATCAGAAGTTTTATTGAGTTTAAAGAAAAACAAGCGACTGTTCTACTATCTGAATGACATCCGAGACAAGAAAGACCAGGATAACAATAAAATTAGTGGGTCATCGATTTGCTGCACCACAATTTTAAATTATGCAATTTCAACAAATATGTGCACTTTTTATTGCGAATAATAAATGTATTTTGACATTTTTTCGACTGCTAATTCCCAGCTAATCATTCCTAATTTGATGCCCACCAAAGTGTTATTTTTTAAAAAAAAAGTACACAGCAATTATATTTCATAGCGGGTGTTGATATATGAAAACAATTGATTGTTGAAAAAATAAATATATGAGAAACCAGTAGAGAAAAAGATTGGATGAACTAACAGATGAAGCAGTTCTGAAAATCACAATTTCAAACTTTTAGACTCATTAAATTTAGGTCTACATCTTATCAGTTTACTGGATCCGCGAATTGCCTACCATCATTCAAGCTCGTATGCCTTTTCGATCATTTAGGCGTAAAGCCATCAATCAAAGTGGCAAAGTACGCTTCCTAATTAAATAATGCTTATTGATGATAATGAAAGACGTTGTTAACAACTTGGTGAACTCCAGATGATGCGCTCTGCATTTAGAAAGCACTGCGCAAAACTTAAAACGTTTTGGTAATACCCTGAGAGCCAATAATGATATTAATGAGTCTTAATTTGCTAAAAGATCATTTTTTGATTCATTATCAAGGCATAAGAGACATTTAATTTCTTCCATTCACACATTTTAAGCGCAGTGAAATAATTAACGAAATCTACTGCTAAAACACTGATGGCATATTTACTTTATTGTAGCATGTGGGGCAATAATGGCATCAATTTCAATTACTACTTATTAAAAAATGAAATGATTTAAAATTCGGAGTTTTCCCGTACCTTTAATTACAACAAATAATGACTGTCAAATTCAGAGGAAAATGTCTAGCTGTTTGGAACCTCTTTAATATACTAACGCTGATGAGCTTCACAAAAGTAATGCGTAATTATTTTCTTGAATTTTAAGCTAACCCTTATCAACATTAATTCAATACAGCACAAATAATCTTATTTGAAGATTTCCGAAAAATTTTGGCGCCATTCCAATTCATTCGAGAGTACTTTTAAAATAATCAGTGTTTAGTAATTTCTATCACTATGGAAGACATTTGCAAAACTAAACAAAATTTATTTCCCAAAATGAAAGGACATGGGGTCCAGAATCCTTAAAAGGAGGTGAAGCATCACGAAGTTTTGCTGTTCTCAAGAAAACATGTCGTACCACCGTCATAACCACTTTACCCACAAAATATATTATTTTATTTTATATCAAATGGCAGGCGTCTTGATGGTTATCATTAGCCCTTTAGTTGACTTCAGGCTTCACAGAGAGGATGGTACATCAAATTGGGAAAAAAAGTCGAGAGGGGNGGGGGGGGGGGGGAACAGAAGAGTGTTTCAAAGATGCAAAAGAGACAGACACAAAGGTAGAAAAAAGGTGATGTGAGCATTATGGAAGTAGTCGAATATGACATATAGTGAGGTGTTGGTAGTTTGAAGTGAGAAGTCAACCGCCAGTTAATAGACTTTTTATTTGAAGTCAGAAGTCAACTGCCAGTTAATAGACCTTTTCAGTCAGAAGTCAACTGCCGGTTTATAGACTTTTTTGCCGTTTGAGTAGTCAGAAGTCAACTGCCGGTTAATAGACTTTTTTGTGAAGTGAGAAGTCAACTGCCAGTTAATAGACCTTTTTGCGTTGAAGTCAGAAGTCAACTGCCGGTTAATAGAATTTTTTTGCCGATAGTGAGAAGTCAACTGCCGGTTTATAGACTTTTTTGCCGCTTTGAAGTCAGAAGTCAACTGCCGAATAATAGACTTTTTTATTTGGTAGTTTGAAGTGAGAAGTCAACTGCCAGTTAATAGACCTTTTTGCGTTGAAGTCAGAAGTCAACTGCCGGTTAATAGAATTTTTTTGCCGATAGTGAGAAGTCAACTGCCGGTTTATAGACTTTTTTGCCGCTTTGAAGTCAGAAGTCAACTGCCGAATAATAGACTTTTTTATTGAGTCAGAAGTCAACTGCCAGTTAATAGACTTTTTTTGCCGTATGGCCGTATGATTATACGTTGCCCAGGGTGCACCACGTGGAGGTAAGTCTATTGAAAAACGAATGCCGAGTGATAGAATTTTTGCCGTAAGAAAGTACGTTGCCCAGGGTGCACCACGTGGAGGTAAGTCTATCGTAGTTAACTGCCAGTTAATAGACTTTTTGCCGTATGAATATAACGAAAGCCGAGTGATAGACTTTTTTGCCGTAAGAAAATACGCTGCCCAGGGTGCACCACGTGGAGGTAAGTCTATCGCACACAAACTTCCGGTTAATAGACTTTTTACCGTATGAGTATACGTTTCCCAGGGTGCACCACGTGGAGGTAAGTCTATCGCACACCCACCAGGGTGCACCACGTGGAGGTAAGTCTATCGCACACCCCTTGTAGGGTGCACCACGTGGAGGTAAGTCTATCGCACACCCCACCCACAAAATATTGTAATCATTGTATAAGAGTCTACTTAAAACTGGTTAGTAGAAGATATGTTTCAAGATATACTTTTGAGACGAGTTGCCCAGTCGATTTACCCATAAGGATTATTTAATGATCTCTGATCGTATTTTCAAGATATTAACACAACAGACAGTTTGATTATGACCATAAAATTGAAGGTATTCTCTCAAGATTTGCCATCAAGTCCGAAACTGGAATTCACACATTAGATTATGAAAAGCTTATTGTCACCGTAAGGTAGGACTGGTCCGATCGATAGATAATAGTTGGAGAGGCGCAAATTTCTAAAAATTCTATGTAAATGACGCGGTAATCAGTAACAAGAACTCCAGTGATATTTCATCATGCCTCTTTTTTTAAGTTTTCACTCTCCATTAATTTAGCGGATTAATTCTCTAAGTACTCTAGGCTTTCATCAGAACACACATATTTATTGGTCACATTCGATACTCACTTTAGGTATTTCTGTAGTGAGAGCTACAGACTTAACGAGCGCCTTTCGTCATTCTGTTCAGCAGATATTTCTAATTATGCCTCGAATACACACCATTTGATCTCGCAGAGGATTTTAACTGCTGTTCCATCGGCTAGCTCTTTTTTATAACGTTAAACCGCATTTTGTACGCTTTTTGTGTTGTCTGATCTCATTCATCATTTTAAATGTCTGATTTATTCTTCCAACTGAAAAAATCACGTTCAATCTTTGATCAACGAATTCACTCCTTTCTTCTCTATTGAATATAATATATGGCTTCTCATATCATTCCTACTTTTAAATATGATCACAAAGGTAGATAACATTGAATGTTTTGAAAGATACTATTTATGGAAATCAATGTTTTCTCGATTTTAAAAAACGCTTTCAAGTTCTAAAATTTCGCTTCAGTTCGAAATGAAGGGCGAGCACAATGGAAGTGTGAGAGTAAATTGCCAAAAATATCATTACTTCCAAATTTATTAGTAACAATAAATAAAGACGAAAAATAATAACATTAAGTTCACTTAATTTAACTATAAAGAATTTCTGTTTGGATTCACTTACTCAAGACAGATTGTAATTGTGCCCCTTAAATTGTCAAAAGGTGCCTAAAAAATTGGAATGGGAGTTAAGGAAAGGGGTAAAGTGAAGGACAGTGCAGTTTCATTTCTACAATTTCTATGCATTTTCTTATTACATTATTTGAATATACCATGAGTAATACCATGATATCAAGCACAACTAGCAAATTGGAGGTTCGGAAATGGGTTTGTTAAATATTTAATAAATTTGCTACCTTCTTTCAGTGCACAGAGTTTTAGTATCCTTCAACTGATAATCGGTCTTGGCCCTTCAATTATTTTTCTTCCAAATTTAAGTGAGGCAAAGTATTCTAGCTGAGCTGAAATAAGTAAAATTTTCAGTTAGCAGAGCTGCGCAAACGAAATTTAACGTTAATTTGCTGTTTGAAATCAGTCAAAATTTGTCCAATAAGGAAAGTAGCTTTGAAAAAAATGAGGCATTTTCGAAGTGACTGAAAGGTATATACTGATATTTAAATATTTAAGAAAGTTAATGATATGCAAATTTCAAAAACCAATAGTTTAACCCTATTGATTGTCAGGGAACATCGTAGAGGCAAACAATCGAGATATATGGAAGATCGTAGCATTCACAATATTCTGTTTAAGATTCAATTCATAGTCTCGTCAAAGTGTACTTCAGTAGTGTATTTGGAATATTTATGCAGTCGATTATCGCCGATGCTACTGACGAGTGGGTATAGTAGTGACTAAAAGACTTTCAAGTCGAGGTATTAAACAAGTTGCGGAGGATATCCAGGCCAGAAAATATTCCAGAAGACAGCGAAGGTGAAAAGAGCAAGAGAAACAGAGAGACAAGCCCAGAAAACTATTCGATACCACGGTCTCTGATTCAGTTCTCTTAGCAGCGGAACGCCCACTAGAACTCCCGCAATGGGACCCGCTATTGTGGGCGTGAAGGTCACATGCAGTGGAGCCTCTGGGAGACTATAGCGTTCATAGAATGAAATTCCAAGGTCGATACCGCTGAATAGAAGAATCGCAAAGATCTAATTGAATGAAAGAAAATAGAACATTGACTGAGTTAGTATCAATGGCGAAATATTAGGTCTTGAAAATTAATACAAGCATTTCAATAGCACATTTGTTAACTTTTAGCTACAGCCGCGCTCTGGTGCGTTAGACAGAACTGACAGAATTGAGGTATTTAAACAAGGTTTTTCCTGATATCGATCCACAGCCACATAAAATGTATAACGAAACGAAATATCCTTTAGTTCGAAAGTACTTGTGATTACCGTGGTATGAAAGTGATTCGCTCTGAAGGTGATTACAAATTCATGAGAATTCGTGTGAATGTTTTTATAAATGCCAGTATAATTGTAAAAATTGATTGTTTAAATAAAGTTTTTACTTCTTCGTAACAGCACTTTAATTTCTGAAATTAGGTTTATTAATTTTAGATATTCTTTTGAGCATAACTTTAAACTTAAACCATGAAGCAAACTGAAATAATATTAATATTCAATTATGAGATCTACAGCACCAAACATGTAGTGAATATAAGAAATGGATTTAACAAAGTCAAAAGGAAATGCAATTCGCATTTTTTCTCGCTTACTAAAGTAGCTTTATTGTTAAAAGTTTGATTGAATCGGTCTGTAGCGGATTGCTACGCTAGTAAAGCCTGACCGACTCAGAAATCTCTATGGTCCACAGGTCCAAGTTATGATAATCAAATGTCCTCAGAATATGTGATTTTTCAACTACAGCGAATTAATCACAGATATGACCTTAGTAGGTCTTCTTACCCAATTTCCATCTCCATTCCTTCTCAAGCAACGTTTTCCGACTTAAACATCAGTTGAGATCTTATGAGTGCATTCCTGCATGTCTGTTAAGACTAATTAAATGATTCTAGAATGAAAACTTTGGAAATATATTTGACAATATATTTCACCCTACTTATTCCTTTAACGAGCGCTTCCCAATTGATTTTTGTCGGAAGATATTATATTCTAACTAATTGGACTTATATGAAGGGTAGGGGCGCATTTAAATCCTTTTCCTACTTAATGATATTTCTTACCAAATTAACTGAATAATTTTTGCCTCTTAGTGGAAAGGTGAGTGGAAGGTGACTTTGACTTATATAACACTAGATTAGTAATTTCAGGCAAATGATCTGTTTACAAGTGAATTATTAATTGTTGAATGAAATGTCTGACTAACTCGACTAATTCCCGAGGCCATAAATGCCACAACCTTATCTTTCACTGTGGAGGCAGTGAAAAGCGCGTAGTGATCGTGCTTAAGTTCCTCCCAGTTGATCGCTGCAAGAGCAAAATAGGCGCCAATTACAGCAAACACCCCACCCGAAGCACCGACTGCAATTGTTGTGCAATCCCAAACGGATGTCGCTAATGAACCAGCCAGCACCCCAGAGAGGTAGAGTACTGCTATTCTCCAGGAGCCATGCACCCACTCCATGAGTGTGCCAAGAATCAATGTCATCAAGGAGTTGAAGATGATGTGGAAAATGCCCTATTTAAAAAATAAAACAAAAAAATAATTAAGCATAAATTTGAAAATGTCCATTGAACACAAAGTACATTTGAAACGAAGGAAAGGAATCGTGGTTAGTAAAAACTGGAGTTTAAAGTATCTCATAAAGTTGTATAGCACATAAATCGAATAAATTTGGGAAGGATAGTGGGCCTCCTCAGTCCTTCCTGAAGTAAATATCTTCCGCCAGGGAATAAAGAAGAATGTTGACATGAGAGCGAATCTGCTAAGCTTCATTTTAAAGGTCAAAATAATGGAAGGTGATCAGCACCCGATGAGCAGTAATGGCTCGTGGTTTTATTACTAAATTTCTTGCATCGACGATTATTTAAATGCAGATCGGACGGTGAGACAGCAAAGTCTTACTCAGATAAGAATTTGATTTTAATGATTTATGCTTAGTTCTTGATTAACTTTAGCCGATTCCTTACATGCTAACTCTGGCAGAGAAGAAACGCATTAGACAAGTGCAGAACAGCGCAGATGGATCCAGCAGTTTAATTAAAATATCATTAGGCAAATTTGATAGCATTGTTACTCAAATTAAGACAGAGATCATGGAATAGATGGGCATAGGCTTAGACTACGTGATTTTAAGGTTTTATTATGGCAATCACAAGGAGCTACTCATATTTAACATATATCAGACAGTCATAAGTGTTCAACACATAAAAGAAATGATTTTCATTTAATAGAGGGTCTCCATGAGGTTTCGGAGGACGGATAATGGAATGGTCCAATCCATCCATGGGCACCTTCTACGAAAATAATCATTATTATTGTGATAAGTTACACATGTTCAGGCCATGCACATGTAATTCCAGAGTAATTTGTAACTTGATGGGTTAAATGAATCCCTACATTATTTACTAATTACATTTTGACTATGGAATTGACAAAATTGTGATATTTATTTTCAATTTAGGTTGAATCTTTTCTTCAACATAAACTAATGAGATAGTTGCTTTAAAAGGGCATCCATGTTTCGCACTGAGATTTAAAAATTTTGCTGGTTCAGGTACTTAACAATGACAGAATTGAGAATCTCTGTCAACAGCAGGGGACGCCTGAGAGATAGATGTCAATCTCTCACATAATTAAGCAAGAGCATGAATTCACTCCACTAATCTGGAGTTAAGTGAGCGGAAGGAGCATAAGAATGGATAGCAGGCACAACAGTATTAACCACCCCATTTTGAAGAAGTATACCTATTAAATAGTGCAAGCTTAGAGGTTACTTCACACACATATTTATCGAAAAAAAGTAACTGTACCTCATGAACTAGCATGTATGAAAAGAATCTCCACACCTCTTTGCGCTTGCGTGGATCGAATATGAGTGGTGAAAAATACGGGAATCCAGTCGCAAAAGTTAATGTATTTCCTGGTTCAGCTCCTGCTCTTTTATTTAATTCTACGGCATAGTAGATAAATATCGCTATCTAAAGGAAACTTTCACCATTATTTCAATATCTATGAGAAACTAACCTGTATTAAAACAATTACAGGGCATACGATTGGGGGAGGAAGAATTTTGAATGATTTCAGATATAATTCGGGTATATATTCTTCCTCTACGATTGCCAATGCAGTATCATTTAGATGTCGCTTACAACGATGTTTCCTTGACGTTGGCCATACTCCATCGGGCTCCAGCTGAAACTTACCACCACTCACCCTGTCGCCAGAGTAACCAGTGATGGCGTTTGGGAGGCAATCAGTGGCCGTTAGGTTAGAAGCCACTCCAAATCTCAATTCGCCTGCTTGGCCAATGGAATTGAGCATTTGAAGATGTTTGATCGCATTGGTTTGAGCAGCAGCCAATCGCATACCTGGATTCGCAGCAAGCATGGCCCGAATAGCTATTCTTTGATACAACGGAAGGTCGATATAGCGTTTATGTACCAAAGCCTTGTAGAATTCCTGGGAGCAAGCATAAGGACAAAGTTAAAGCTCCTCACTATTAAATTTACCTGATATGTTGTTCTACCATCTCGATTAGCATCCAAGAATAACATCAAATCATTTCTTCGACTCCTAGGAAGGTCGTATGTATTGTATTGAAATCTATTGAGCAGTTCACGGCATGGAACCCCTTTCATATGCTCGTAGGGATCAAACATTGGCTTAAAGGTAACCTCGATCCACTGGCGATATTCTTCCTCAGTTAGGGATCCAACAGTAAGTCCACCAGCCTGGAGGTTAGGCAAAATATTGTCTTCTCTAGAGCCCATGCTGAGGAGTTTCGAAAACAGCTCAAATTAGGCTATTTCAAAATTACACCTACACTGCTTGCCCAGTGGGTAGATGCAAAAAGGGCTCGATTCTAAACCGAATAAACAAAAAGATTTAAAATTATTTTGTTTTATTCGGTTCTTTTTGCGGAAGAAATAAACCGTTTACAAAGTTAATATTCAAAATACAAATGGTAACTTTTCGGCCGATTGTAATGATGTCAAATACAGCCTGCTTGTGAGAAAAATCTCTTAATGTGAATAATTAGGTGCAATTTCAAATTTTTTTTAAATTTAATGAGGGAGCCAGTTTTTATGGCTATTTAGATATTTTCATACCAAATATACGCATCAATTTTACATATTTTTCTGCATCATGAATTTAAATGGACGGTGCTATCCAAAAACTAAAGATATGAAGATGGTTAGTGTCTGTCCGATGGAGCCTGTACCCGATTTGGGAATGAGGAGAAGGTAAAAGCACGGGTTTTCAACACGAATTTTGACTTTCATAGCCAGAATGGAGCTTCATGGCGTTTTGGTGGTTAAATCATTCAAAAGACGACCACCTGACACTCTACTGCATGGTACTGCTAGTGTGAAATCTACTTCTCATTGCTCTGTGTGTTTATGAAATATTTCAACATTTGACCGCAAGTAATTAATTTCCAAAATTATAGCTTTACTTTAAAGCCGATTCATTAGCTCTTTAGTGTCTCATTTTAAAACCATTTGATTAAGAGTATTGCAGTGTTTGCTCATTCACATTAAGAAGCATGAGGCGAAATTAAATGTGTTCAGATAAATACCCTACTAAGGAATTAATTGTTATGGAATTATTTATTTCTGTGGCTTTAGAAGTTGTGTTATAGCAGTTTTGGGAGTTAATTATAACAAAATTTAATTGAAAGAAATAAATATTCAGAAAGCAAAACACAGGAATTATTCAAACAATCAGCATAAATAATTAAATTATGTTTAAGGATACGTTTAATTAATGCCCAAATACAACTTTTAGGGGGCTTACTTAACTCACATGTTTGATATCCGAAGTGTAAGTTGTACCAAAATATTAATTGTTATGAGACAGTTAGTGGCCAATCAAAATGAGCAAAAGGGCGTAACCATCATTGTGTGCATGTGAAAACTCGATTAATCACCTGCAATTCGTGATTGAAATGAGCACGCATTAGCTTCATGAGAAAAAAGCACTTTTACTCGCCTATTGGTTGAATATTCCACCAATAGATAAATCCATTATGGATAAATATAATTTACTAGCTACTTATTATGTAATTCATGCTCATGGCAATATAAAATGAAATTGTTTATAATTTTCCCATTGAAAAAGAATTTGTTTTTCAGGTTTGTATATGCGTTTTCAACGCCATGATTATTTAATTTCCTACCCAAATCATTTGAAATATGTGCTATAATTTATAATCAAGATCATACTTCTGTGCGCGTAGATGGCATAAATTTACTAAGTTCAGCCATCGGACACCATCAGAAGGCAAGGAATAATTTTTTGTTTTCAAAGTCAATTCTCTTCTTGTGATTCAGTGAGTACTTAAAAAACTTTGTCACCATCTGCATGGGAAGGGAGTTAGAAGTTTGAGCAATTTATCTACAATAATGATGATTTATAATGCCACTTTTGATGGATATGCAATAGAGCAAAAATGTTCAATAGTAAGAGCCTAAAAACTTATTTGATAAAGTGAAAAAGAAATCGCGTATTGGTGAAATCCAACTTGTTTGAAAGTAGAATAAATATAAAATAAGTATTGAGTACTAAGCTGTAGCAGCATCCTACTCTGACTCACTCTCCTCTCCTAACTGCCAATTACATATGAATGAACAAAGGACCTAAAATTGACCAACTCCGCTATCATTCTTAATTTCGTCAATCCTCACTTGCTTCTTGTTTTCACCACGAGATGTTTCTACAACAGAACGACTCCACCAACCTACTTTAAAATCAAGCAGGTGTAATAAACTCTGGTAAAACATGGTGATCACCGACGAGTTGTGCAATGGATTCCTCGTATGGAACTTCAGGGATAGTGCATTGAGCTCTGAGATTGAATCAAATCAGTACGTGTCATCAATTCGAGTTTTAGAGTGTCATCACTTTCAAAATGAAATTAGGTGAATTTCGTATAGTTAACGTTACTCTAACTCTCTTAGATTCGATTTCACCTCCTAAGTAGTTTTGGAAGCTAATTTTAAATTATTTTGGAATAGACAAACCTAACAATAGAAAAATGGCTCAAGGTTGGAGCTCTTTATAAACCCAGAACTCAAATCTCGAACTCATAGTTTCAGTCCTTGTTATAAGTAAGTGCTTTTAATGGCTTGTTTTATGAGTGATGTCAGTTATGCCGGTAAAATTTAGACGAACTGTATAAGGAAACCCAGTGAGCCAATTTCATACCTCGTGTGAGTTTTTGTTTGTGATCGCTTATAAAAGAAACAGTATATTAATTTCAGCATTGCCAATTCGCTGAAAAAAAACGTCCACCCAGTTCGTTCGTTTAGCGATAAATTGGTGCGCGAATCACAGAGATTGGCATGGAAATCAAGATCGATGGAATATAGATGAACCTTGCTGAATAACAAGATTGGAATAAAGAGAAGAAATGCAGGGAAAGATAAATGCAAGAATACAGAAAGCCAAATGATGATCTAATCAAATTAATGAAGTATCAAAATCATAGCAGGTTACTCCAGCGCTTCTACTGAATCCAAATGCTAACTCCTGTACTAGCTCGATTTTCTTGATAAATAAAGCTTGCGGTATGCCATAAGAAACAATAGACATATTGAAGTTCTGTAGTATTTTTCTGTTCTGTAGTTCTATTGTCTTAATTCAGTAAGTTAGAATTCGCATTGAACATCTTTGACACTAAACAAATTTAAAAAAAAACTTCTTAATTTTACTTTTTGAAGATTTTGGTAACCATTCAAGTGCGTTTCATCCATTTTCAACTAACGGTTACTCATTGTACACACAGCCGAAACCTTAAAGTGGGCCGATTTCGAATGATTTGCCTTCATGGCGATTTTTAAAACATATCTCCTTTAAATCAACTTTTGTCGTGAGGTAGAGCTTGGGGTTCACCAAATACTGCACCTCAAATTGCGTGAAGAAATCAAAGATTCTAATCATGAATTTACTTTACCTACTTGTGGTGAGAAAAGGGGTTGGTTGTTGTGTATTACCGATATGATACGAGAGTATAAGTTGGTGCTGAAAAGGAGTTGGTTTGGAGTAACTGTTGGCTTGAATTTTGGGAGCGAGCTGAAATACTTATATAAAGGGTACATATAAAGGACCTTTCTTGAGTTCAGTTAAAAGAGAAGTGTATTTTGTGCAGAAAAAGTTGAAATGCTATTTTTTAACGCTCAAGTGACTTTTGCTATTTGCCAGTACTTGAATAATTGGTGTAAACTTTAATCCTGTGGTTATTGCCCACTATTAGCTGTTTTACTGGCATTATAACAACGTTATACCAAATGGATTGTAGAAAAAACAATACTCAAGACACAATTCTTTGCCATTTTCCCCTGTATATTTATTATGTTAAATGCGATTTTGGTAAAAGCGATCTGATTAATGAAGAAATGAACAGCAAAAATGTTTCATGCGTTTTTAATATTTTTCAGATCCTGGCGACTTTCGAACAGACCTGAATGTTTCGAATGAATTCAAATTATGAATTCAGAAGACAGTGCTCATTAAACATATTTTGATAAGCTAATATTGAACTTTGCACTTCTGTCTCAAAATTTAATTAGCAAAAGTAAAACGCATAATGATACGCAACGCCTGAATCAAATCCAAAAAAAATATATTAAGCCTGGTCAAAATCTACCAGCTCTGCCGTACCAGGCTAAGTGCTATTTAATTTAACTGCACCAGATGCGTTGATAAAAGTGCTCGTCCGTCGCTGTCACAGTAACGTGCTCTGACGCGTTTTAACGTATGGTTTGTCAATATCATGGTGTCTATTTGTTCTTTGAAAAGCGAAATATTTTTAACTGACCATTCCGAAATGCGAAATCGCAAGAATGGCCATGTATATAGTGTCTATTTTATATTTTTTGTCGATTAAAACTGAAAGTATTGCATTTTCTGCCAAGAATGAAAATTGTGATTTCCAATGGAGCTGAAGTCCAACTCCTGGTGAAAGTTTTCAATGCATAATTTCTGATGCTAGTTCGGCATTTTGATATATTTTCAAAGCCCTCAGAAGCATTCCGGCAACAATCGAGTCGATATTTGCCTAAGCGCATGAAGTTTCGGAATCAAAGCTTGTAGGAAGGGGCTGTCATGTGTTCAGATAGATTTTTGTTGGATCTGTTTTCGATTCGAAAAGTGCAGCTATCCACTGAGAACGAAGATATTTGCAACGAAACACGGAATTTGATGCCAACATTATTATTATTATTTCAAATGACAGGCTTTATGATATCTATCATTAGCCCCCTTAGTTGACTTCGGCTTTCACAAGGGGGGGGAACATATATAGCAATTAATTGATAGAAGTTCATTAGTTGTTTTCTGGCTTCCCAGTATCTCTGGGTTTCCGTCGTTGTCTTTAGGGCGGGTCTTCTCCATTCCCTAGGAACCCATTGTAGGATCACTGTTTTGTTTATTTCTCTCAGCATCTGATAGAGTTTTTTACATTCGTGTCTCAGCTGTTTTGGGTGGCTCTCTGTTTCCAATTGAGTTTATTGCTGATAGTGCGTCCGAAAGGATTACTGTTTTGGTGAATTTCGTATTCAGGCAACATAATTGGCCTATTGCTATCTTAATGGCCTCTATTTCTCCTTCGAATGCGGACTTGAATTGGATACCAACATGAAGTGTCATCATATGTCAAATGTGTAGGACTTGGCAATTTTTTCCAGTGTCACCTTGGAGCACATAGAATTTGCGCCTGGTCATTGGCTGCTGACCAACCTAAAATAGTTTGAACTGAGGTATCTAACCCCTCCACCTACTTGACCGTTCTGCCACCCACACAGATCTCCTTTATTTCTTCATAAGGTCCTCTAACTTCGAGTGGAAAAAAGTTGAGGTCCTAGTCAAGCTTATCTCCTGACTTCAAACAGACCATGTACTAAAGTAAAAGCATAAATAACCACTACAGCTCAATTTCAACTCTAGGAAGAATATGTCCTCAAAATCACTGCACCTTACCATACACTTAAAATGCGACTATTTTAAATGCATTGAAAGATTTAAAATATGCTGCCGAAATTCTTGCTTCATAATGCTCACACAAACCATGCTTACTTTAGTAATCAAATTTAATATCCTTATTGACATTTACTCTAAAGCATATGACTAAACTCTATTTCAAACAGATGCCTTTTAAGTTAAATATAGAAAAAACCGCTGAATATTAGATAATGCGTTCGATTGACGTGGTGTATTTAAAATAAATATGGTACAATCTTCGGGTTACAACTTCATGAGGATGGACGAAATTTCACAATGTTGAAGAACTTAATAGTTTTCGTACAGTTCCTCACTGAACATCAAGTACCTCAGTTCTTCAGTGTAGCCGGTCTATCAACATATTGTCCTAGAATTTGGACAGAAAATAATGATTGCCTATCAATACAAACCTGGAGGTGGCGATGGTGTTTCACGTCGCATATCCATGAATTGGACGTATTTGGAAACTAAAATAATCGAATTTGAAATAAAAGAAAATGGCATACTTTGATTTAGGAGACTTTTTTGATAAGCCGCAGCCGGATGTTTATAGATTTCGGCAATTATTCCACCTAAAGTATAAGTTTTAACAGTAATAATTAAAACAATAATCTGAAGAAAATGCGGAGAAAATTATAAAACGTACTTTGAATACTTGGTTTTCTTTCGAGACTATCAAGATATGAATCGAGTTTTTCTATAATAAAGTCATTAGAAATGCATAAATTGAAATTACTCATTAGGTCCTTGTCCTTTTCTTCAATAAGCCCAACTTTATCTAGATAAAGGTCAAGAAAAAGATAGCAATTACTACCCGAAACAACAGCGGCATTTTTACGAGGTGAAACAAAAGTACTTGTAATAGGCGATAAGAGAGAAAAACCTAACATGAGCACAATGAAACGAAATGCCGATAATAAATAAAAGAAAGGCTAACTTACTTTCTTTTACTTCTGACTTTCGGATTTCTTCAGAATGTTCTTGAGTTGGTCCTAACGAATCTTATGGAAGTTATGAATATGGGAGTTACCAGTTGGAGGAGCTTCTTCATTCTCCACATGTTCAACAGCATCTAAAATGGTGCAAGTTTGATGATCTTATAAGTGTGCAACGAATCCACATTTCCAAAGGTTGAATCTAGTTTACGAAATAATGCGAAACATCCTATTGCTTTTATAGTGTGTCTACCAATAATGCACAAATATGGAAACCTTGGACTAATATTCCACATTGTGGGTAAGTGTTTAACAATAAACCATTAAGAAACTAAAGCTATTGATCAAATGTCTCTTTAATTACAAGAATTCCACTTTATTGAACATTATAGCCTCATTAAAAGATGTTACCTTGAGCATCAGCACCCATTTCATGCAAGGAGGAGGCCTTAGGTGAAGTTGGCACTAAATGAAAATAAGAATCAATATTGAAATCGAAAAACTTTACTCATTGTAGCCACTGAACATGAGGACTTACTCTCGTTAACTTCTGTATGTTCAACTTCTCCAGTACCTTCTTGAGATTGTTCTAATAAATCTTATGGAGGTTATGAATAAGTTAGTTACCAGTTGGAAGAGGTTCTTCATTCTCCACATGTTCAACTGCATCTAAAATTGTGTAAGTGTAATAGCCTTATCAATGTGTAACGAAGTCATATTTCCGAGAGAAGTTTAATACATTTGGAATTATCACCAATACCCAATTCCAGTGAACTTGAAATCGTGTTTGTATGTATGTGTGAGTATTTAGCAAAACGTAAAGAGCAATTAAAGGTTTCCTAATAAATATCGTCTTGTTTAAGTGATTTTCACTTTATTCAAAAGTATTGTTCGCATTAATCAATGTTACCTTGTACATCAGCATCGGTTTCATGCACGGAGGAGGCCTTTGGTGAACATGGCACTAAATGAAAAGGCGAAATAATATGAAAATCGACAACATTCACTTATTGTAGCTATTGAAAGTGTCAATTTACTCTCGGTTACTTCTGTATGTTCCACTTCTCCAGTGCATTCTTGAGGTTGTTCTAATGAATCTTATGGAGGTTATGTAACTGAGTATTACCTGTTGGAATATTTTCTTCATTCTCCACATGTTCGACTGCATCTAAAATGATGCAAGTTTGGTTGTCTTATCATTGTGCAACAAAATCACATTTCCGCGAGTTGATTTATTTATTCAAATTTAAGAGAAAAATACAATCCTCTACTCATTATAACCAGCAGAAATGCACAATTGCAGTGTGCAAAAACTAACACTTCACGTTTTTGACATATAATTAAAATCAATACAAAAATTCAAGTTGGAAATTAAGAGTCTTTTTAATAACCAGAGTTTCACTTTATTCAACTACAAAGTTGATATATAACAATGTTACCCTGAGCATAGGCACAAATTTCATGCACGGAGGAGGCCTTAGGCGAACATGACACTAAATGAAAAGGAGAATTAATATTGAATTCGGACAACATTCACTCATTGTAGGCATTGAACGTGCCAACTTACTCTCGTTAACTTCCGTATGCTCGACTTCTCCAGTGCATTCTTGAGGTTGTTCTAATGAATCTTATGGAGGTTATGAATAAGGTTGTTACCAGTTGGAAGAGCTTCTTCATTTTCCACATGTTCAACGGCATCTAAAATTGTACAAGTGTAATGATCTTATCAATGTATTACGAAGTCATATTTCCGAGAGAAGTTTAATATATTTGGTATCATCGAGGTATTCTATCCCCTCCACACTATGTCAATCACCAATACTCAATTTTATTGAACTTGAACTAGCATTTCAGCTTTTGTGTTTTAGCAATAAATCAAATATGTAAGTACTATTGTTTCCCTATTATCGTTATATAAATATATATAAGCTTTAATTTTTTCAACATCTCAGGACAATTTTTCCACCATCGCTTCTCAGTATTTGATACACCAAAAATTTTTCGATGGTTCCTCTGAACTTTCCGAACCAATATATGTTTATTGATAGGTTGAATTTTGGCGTTTCCAGTATGTCCTCACAGCTGGAGTTCGAAATGTCCAAGATGATGCTTACTAGGCTTGTTTCTAGTTTCGTTGGTCTAAGTGCTGACTGAAGACAGTTTGCCTCACCGAGCTCTGATGGTACCCTCCACCCGTGTTCTGTTTGGCATCTGATCCTGAACGTAAACTGCTATGCTAGCTGCAAGAGTCTTCTTTGGAGCAAATAGATTAAATAGGGAAGAATGAATCCTTTGGAAGTAAAACATTGTTGATTATTCTAAGTTTACACTCCATTAGAATCAAGGCTGATCTGCTCTCAGTCGATATCTGATACGGTGAGTTGAGGACTCCTTCTGTGTTCCCTCTCTATGTGACTTCTGTTTTGCCGCTTTAGAGGGCTAAGAAATCACTCTAACTGCGCAATTGTTTGAGGCTGATATGCGGGAGAGTAGACGTGGCAGATTTTATGGCGTCGACGAAAGTACTATTGCATGATAGTCTAAATATTAAATCCTTAACTGCCATGTCTCCTACCTCATCATCTTCCTCAGTCAGATATACAATTATGGTTTGCTTGTCAGGATATCTCTGGTTGTAGATGAGACGAGAAAGCCAATCAGATCGCCCCACTTTTGTTTTATTCCAATATGTTAATCAAACTCTAGCCAAGATGGCTGGTGGACCAATTCTAAAGTCGGCTTGCAAGTGTTAATTGGATTGGCCATTTGCATCTAAAGATAGGGAGAAGTGATCCGTAATGTGAAATGGGGAAGAGGAATTAGTATCACTGTTAGCAGCAAAAACGATCACCAAAATCTCCTCTCCAATCTGACTACAGTTCTTCCCGGCTGAAAAGGGCTTCTAGAATCATGCGCAACAGCTTCATCTGAACCGTTATGAAGACGCGTGAGCCAACCGCACCAACACCGTAGTTCGGAGCATCTTCAACTATAACAATTGGTGCACTCAGGATCCAATTTGAAAGCAGCATATCAGAGATGAATATGTTCCTTACTTTTGTAGTTTTTACCGCATTTGTGAGTCCAGTTCTATTAAATATCTATTTTTTCAGAAACTCATTTAGAGAGTCTCAAATATTATTCAACTTGAGTAAAAATTTACCGTAGCGGATGATCAGAACCGGGTTTTAGAAAGCCTCATTATTTCAGGTGTTTACGTACTTTGTACGCATTAGGCAAAACTCCTAGTGTAACTAGGTGCATTGGACGAAAACTGGTTGACCATTCACCACCTTTTTCAATGTGACCTCAAAATATCTTGGAATAACCCTGGACCATCATCTCCTCTGTGAATGAAAGGGTGGATATAGCAGAGTGTACACGAATGTGAATAGCATGTACGAGAAGATCCAAAGGGTCACGTTGACCTAGCCACTCAAAACCAAGCAGAGTTCATTGGAGGTCTGCGACATAAGATATTGCTGATACGTAATTACCCAGTAGGTCACGCAACAGCTTAATCTCCACAGTAGCTTGTCATATTTTCAGTAAGCATTGATAGAAGATAGAGGGACTGGTTTTAGTTTCGGACAACCAAATCATTTCTCAGACTTCCTTGAGTTTATTGTCAATACCGAAGTGGTGTCTAACTGTTAATGGCCATGGTTGTTATTGGTCTGTAAATGTGGAAGGTAACTACGAGGGGGCTTATCAAGTGTTTTGTTTTAGGTTGATGGAGCTGTTTTTATATAATTTTTGTTTGATTTGCTCTACGCAAACCTTGGTAATGTTATTGGTGGACAATTTAGAAGTACTGAGGTAGGCCTGTGTGTTACTGTTTCTTCGTGTACAATCTTCCGGTACTGTTTACACTGATACTGCTTGAAAGAACACTGTTGAAGGAAATGTCAACCTCGACAACGTTTTCAAGCTGAAGAAAGTTACTATTCCCTGGGGAGATTCTGATAAGCAACAAATTGTGCGGAATAAGACATTGATGCAGACACTTTGTGCTTCAAACGCGTGGCATGGAATCAGAATCAATGAGAGCTGAATCGGCCTCTAACCATTTCTCAGTATCAAATTGGGGATTTCCTCCATTCGTTTAAACAGATGCGACCTAACGGTAAACATGGCTATGCTTTAAATCCAACGCATCATCTGAAACACCTTGCCTTAAGCCGCGAGACAACGTTCATCCCATCGAAAGTTTATAACGCCGCAATATAATTTAATTTCTCATCTAGGCCAATAACAAGTTTGTGATAGTATCAGTGAATGCTGAAGAGAGGCGTTTTAGCCAACAACATCTTCCTTCACCTGCCAGAAACTGGGATCATCAAATTCATTTGGAAGGACAAACTTTGACTAACATTCATATTGGAAAAGACCCAGCTTCCTGATGAGGCAACGAACTCTCGCTTTCCCATATTACTTGACAAGGTCCTCAGTGAACACACATTTGGATGAAGTGAACTACAATTCAAAGAAGCTTCCTGATTTTGGATCATGGTAAATTCATGAATACTTTGCTCACATTTAGCATCTGTAGAATAGGGAATCCCAAAAATTCAAAAGAATTCGTAGAAACGAACGAAGATGGAAATGGAAGAATGCACCTGTTTAGAAATTCCAAATTGCAGAGAGATAATAAAAAATCCAGAACAAATGCAAATAACGGTTGTAAGGTGAATTGAGCTAATTTTGATTTCGAAATTGAAGAAAGCGTCAAAGAATATAACAATTGGTAAAGGCAAGTTTTTTAAACAATAAATCTCCCTTTTAGACGAATTTCCAAGAATTGGATCATGCTTTTGAAACACTCGAAACGCCTTATTTTCTTTAAATTATGCCCAGCACAAATACGCAATTGCAGTGTGTATTTAGCAACAAATAAACAGGGAATTAAATTTATCAGTTAAATTTCCAATTAATTACAAGATTTGAATGTTATTCAACCACAAAGCTAATTTTAAATAATGTTACCTTGAGCATCAGCACAAATTTCATGCACGGAGGAGGCCTTAGGCGAACATGTCACTAAATGAAAAGGAGAATTAATATTGAATTCGGACAACATTCACTCATTGTAGGCATTGAACATGCTAACTTACTCTCGTTAACTTCCGTATGTTCGACTTCTTCTGTGCATTCTTGAGATTGTCCTAATGAATCTTATGGAGGTTATGAATAAGAGAGTTACCAGTTGGAAGAGGTTCTTCATTCTCCATGTGTTCGGCTCCTCCTAAAATGGTGTAAGTTTGATGAACTTATCAGCGGGCAACGAAGTCACATTTCCGCGAGTTGAATTATGTTTAGGAAATCATACGAAACATCTTATTTTATTTATTTTATGTCCCCCAAAATGCACAAATGCAGTGTACTTGAACTAGCATCCCAAGTTGTATGTATTTAGCAATAAATCATTAAGAAATTAAATATGTTGATCAAATACCTATTTTAATTACAAAATTTTCGTTTTATTCAACAGTAATGCCCTTATATAGCAATATTACCTTGAGCAAAGGCACAAATGTCAAGCACGGAGGAGGCTTTAGGTGAACATGGCACTAAATGTAAACAAGAATCAATATTGAATTCGATAACTTTCACTCATTATAACCACTGAACATGCCAACTTACTCTCGGTTACTTCCGTATGCTCGGTTTCTCCAGCACATTCTTGAGATTGTTCTAATGAATCATATGGAAGTTATGTAATTTGTGTTACCAGTTGGAATAGTTTCTTCATTCTCCACATTTTCGACTGCATCTAAAATGGTGACAGATTGATCATCTTATCTAATCGCAACGAAGTTACGTTTCCGCAAGTTCAATTATTTATTCGAAATCAAGCAAAACTTCCAATTCTTTCCACATTACGTCCAGAGGATGACTTACCAACATGTAGTGCACTCTGAGCAACATAATCATATGGCAATAAAAGTCTAAATTCCAACATTTGACTTCGCACTTCAAACTTTCATGACCCGACTTTATACCTTATTCCGCTCCTTCCACAGACCTCTCCTCACCTTACCTGTATCCTCTACTCCTTTGTCTGTCTCTTTTACACCTGTGAATCACTCTTT